CTCCATAGTATCATATCGTTCTGTAGCACCTCATACCTCTTTCTGTGTTTCAGACAAAATAGCCTACCCTCTTCCTTCTCTTCACCTGTTGAATTAACACCTGCCCCTCCTAAAACTTAACACCTGCCCCTCCTAACCCAAATACTACATCCTCCCAAAACTTTCTTTGTGTATCTTGTTTTAATGATCTTCTCCCTCATGTGTCACTTAGGACAATATTTTGCACCTTTCAAGGAGTGCATTTATCCTGCTTTTTAAATTTATAAAATCCTTGTTAGATGGGTTGCTTATGTCAAATGGTGCTCCTGGAACTTCTTGCTTTGGGAAGCTAGTGCTTGAGGTCACATTTGAACTCAGGTCTTCCTGACTCTAGTTCCAGCGTTCTACCTACTGAGCCACCTAGCTGTCACTGTTCTAGACAGCCAAGACTATGAGTTTCAGAGAAGCTCCTGGTCTTTATTGGGAGATAGAGTTTCCTAACCTGGGACTTCTTATATCAAAGAAATCACCCGTCCACTCCCCATCCCTATCCCTTCCTTATTTCAAGACAAAAATTGTCTTTTTGTCATTTCTACCCATTGTTCCTACTTGGCTGAGAAACATTTTTTTAAAGGACTGTAGCTTTTTCCATACACCTTTTCCATTTAAGTACTTGAAAACAGCTATTGTATCCTTCCCACGGGTTCTTTTCACCAGGCCAAACCTCTCCAGTTGGAGACATTCCTACACTCTGGTTTTCAATATCCTTTCTAAGCTGTAGAGCCCAGAACTAAAGACAATACTCCCAATCTGGTTTAATAAGCACAGAGCACAGGGGGACTCTCACTTCCCTACTCCTAGATAGAATAATGGTAATAGCCAGGTCAGCTGAAGTACCTGTTATGAGCCAAACACTATGGCAAACATTTGGGGTACAAAGAAAGGGAAAAGACAATCAGCATGCAGATAGTCCTTGACACTTTGCAAAGTGCTTTGTAAATATTCTCATCTGGACCTCACACCAACTCTAGGAAGTTGATGCTCTTATTATGCCCATTTTATAGCTGAGGAAACTAAGGCAGACAGTGAGGAAGTGACATGCCCAGGGTCACAGAGGTGCTAAACATCTGAGGCTGGATTTGAATTCAGGTATTCAAATGACTCAAAGTCCAGGGCTCTCTTCACTGCACCACCTAGCTGCCTCTCTTAATGAAGCCTAAATTACATTAGTTTTGAAGGATAACCCTATCACAGTTTCATTGAACTTGTAGTCCATGAAAACCTTCAAACATTTTTCAGATGCCTATTGTCTTGAAGTGACTCCCCCATACTGTATTTGTGGAGGTGATATTTTCTAAACTCAACTGTAAGACTTTATGTTTTTTCTATTAAATTTCATTTTATTAGGTTTGGCCCAATGGTCTAAATCAGGGTGGGGAACCTGTGGCCTTTTGAGTCCAAGTTTTACAGAACAAATTTTTTCATTATGGGAATTTGTTCTGTGAAGTTTGGATTCAGTCCAAGTGCAGAACTTGAAGACCTAAAGGGTCACATGTGGCCTTGAGGACACAGGTTCCCCAGCCCTGGTCTAAACTATGAAGAAACATGTATACTCCGTACCCTATAATCAGATTGTCAGAGCTCCTGAGCTTTATATGTTTCCAATACTCTTTGATGCTGGATGCCCAACTGCCTTGCTGTTCCCCTACTATCATCCTACACATTATTATTTTTTTTGGCTAGGCAATGGGGTTAAGTAACTTGCCCAGGGTCACACAGCTAGTAAGTGCCAAATGTCTGAGGCCAGATTTGAACTCAGTTCCTCCTGACTCCAGGCCTGGTGCTCTATCTACTGTACCACCTTGCTGCGCCCCCATCCCACACATTCTTAATGAATTCCATGACTCAGGTGTGACCCAGTCATCCCTATAGATGGCTTGGCTTCTTTTACCAGCTATACAAATTCTCCAATTATTTCATGCACCTTGGGTATATGGCATTAGAGGAAAGGTCTTTCCCATTGGCTCTATAATTACTGTATTTTTGTCCTATGTCTTGAGGGTATTATGAGCATCATGACAGCAGGGCCCGTCTTGTCTATATTTTTTTACCTCTGATTTGAAAAATGCATGGACAATCTTAACTTTGGAGAACTGAAATGGAAATTTATCTCCATCCTCTCAGCAGTGAGGTGGTGATCAATACATAGGTATGTAATGAAGCTTTGGACCTGGTTAATGTGTTGTTTAGGTTTCCATAACTACATTTATTGTACAGGCATCTTGGTGTATGAATAAAGAGCTGGCCAACTCTCTAAGACTTTACATTGCAGAAAAGATGCTGACTTTCATTGGTAGAGAGTTTCATATACTAGTGAAATCACATAGCAGTCCAGTCTATTTATGGTTCTTTTTTTACAAAGGAGAGTTCTTTCACTCCACCATCTTGGCTCTGCCCCCACAAAGGAGAGTTCTAATGGTGGGAGGAAGGTAATGGCATACAGGGGATGGTAGAAGATGTCATTAGGGGAAAAAATCATCAGCACATTTTTTTTAAACAGTGTCTCCCCCAGCATGTACCACAGTGGTTTCACTTAGTAGGTATTTAATAAATGTTGAGTTGATTTCAGAATGAGGAACTCTATGGATAGTCAAAAGTGACATGTATTGGAGGCGGTCTGCTTGTAAAGATGCTGAATGTTTTTATATATCAAGGTTGATTGAAAATATGACTCCCTGATTACCAAATTGTATCTACCCCACAGGCCAACAAATGGCTAAATTGGAGGTAAAAAAAAAATTCAGTGAGATAAGTCAATGGTCTGAAATTTTGATGAAGATTGAAATAGTAAGCTTGGGGTTGTCAGTTATGGTAATCTATGGACAAAATAGTTCTATAGGGGTTTGCAGCAGGCAATGAAGTTACGTGACTCGCCCAGGATCACAAAGTTTGTGTCAGAATCAGGCTTTCTGATTGAAAACCAGTGCCTCTACCATCACACAATGGTGACTCCAGTGGTGCTCTGTTTACGTCCTGGCAAGTTTCACATATGACGACATGAATTTATAGATGGAAATAAAGGAAGTACCTGAGGGTAACTCTCACTGGGGAAACTCTCTTCATCAACAGAGATGAGAATTATCTCTATCACTTGAGATCCATAGACTTTAAGTGACTTGCCCAGGATCATTGACATGATAAGTGTCAGAAGCGGATTTTAAGCACATCTTTCATCTCGGGCCTGTGGCATCACAGGAGAGGTCTTTCCTATGGGATCCATAATTCCTATAGCTCTCTGAATTATCTGTAGTTATCTGTACAGAGGGCCCAGAACTCTATCCATTATGCCATGCTGATTCAATGAATAGGAATATTAATTGCAGCAACAAAAAGTACCAAGTTAATGGGAAATTCTAAGAATATAGGCAGTCCTCCATACGTAGTACTCCAAATGTTTGAAAGTCAGCTATTTTCTTGGAACTTAGAATATACTTTCCCACAGAAATTCCCACAGAAATTATGGGCTACACAGGCTGGCCCATAAAAGCCCATATCACCCACAATGTAGTTTAATAATAATTTAAAAAAGACTTACATTAAGCCCAGTAATCAGTAAGCAGGAAAAGGACAATAGTTCCTCTTTTTGTAGAGAAGGGGGAGAGAAAGTCAAGAAGAACATATAGTAATTAACTCAAAATGCCTTTCTATACTTTGCTTAAATAAATAAATAAATACTTTGTTGCCTTCAACAAGAGAGAACTGTCCCATTAGCTTGGCATTTCTGATTTAAATCATAGTATGGAACAAGCTCCATGAGAAGGGAGGGGAGAATTAACAGAAAGGAAAGAATACGAGGATTGGAGTCAGAAAATCTGGTTGAAAGCTCTGGCTCTAATACTCTGGGCGAATCAAACCTCTCTGAGCCTCACTTTCTATATCTATAAAATGACATTAATAAAAGACTTACAGTATCTATAGCACAGGGCTGAGGAGAGCATTAAATAAGATGAGAACTTTCATTTTTGTATTCCCTCACAGTACCTGACTGACACAGAGTATCCCACATCCCCTAGCACTCCGTAAAAGCACTATTGCATCACTTGCATGAATGAATATTATTTAGAAATGCCAGTAACTTTGAAGTTTTTTTTTTCTTCCTAGTAGAGGCATTATCAGTGCAAGATTAAGTTTGGGGTGAGGCCCTTAAATTACAAAATAAGCAGATGTCCAGGACATAGATAACCCTTCCTCCTACTGTCTATGCCAGGCACCTTCTGCACTCTGCCCTGTGCCACGCAGACAGGCTACTTTTGTAGCCCACCTATGATCCATCTACTGCCCCTGAACCTTTGTACAAGCTGTCCTACATGTCTGGGACATATTCCTTCCTTTCATCTTGAAATCTTTAGCTTCCTTCAAAGCTGAGCTCTTAAATGAGGCATTTCCTTATTTCCCCAGCATCTGTTGCCTACCCTCCCCAATTGCTTCATATTGACTTTGAATATATTTGGCACATAACTGTATATGTACATGTTGTTTCCTCAAGTAGAACAGATGAATTCACTGGATAGTAGTCATATTTGTCACAATTGTTGTTTTCATTCTAGATCTGTGATATCAACTCCTAGTATATACACTTCCTCCACTGATCCAAATCAGCAAATTTCCTATAAACCATGTATCTTAAAGAGGTACCTGGGGCACTGAGAGGTTCAGTAAATGATTTTGCAAGGGGCACAGAACTAGGATGTATCAGAAACAGGAGGGGAACCAAAGCCTCCTTGACCTTACAAAATCAGCTCTCTCTTATGACGATAACCCGCTGTGACAGAGCCTGTCTTCCCTCCAACTTCTCTCTGGCGGTCTTAGCCATTTCCCTCCCTCCTGGGGTTTCCCAAATACACTATTGCTCTATTCTTACTTGGTTGATCTAAGAAAATCCTAGGATACTAGGGTTGAAAGCGAACTTAGGCAGTAGATGCGATACGTTCCAATAGAAACAAAGAGCAGAAACCACTTACAAGACACAGAGGCACAGGGCTCCAGGTACTGACTCGCTGTCTCTTAAGAGAAACTTGCCATCTTTCCTCTCCTGAAGCAGTAAAGTCTCACAAGCTTTTTTGGTCAGAGGGCCATGGTAATAGGGTAGGTCCATGGAGGGAGCTCAGCAGTCCCTACTGGTGAAGAGCCGTGACCCAAGGATGGAGTTCTGAAGCAGTCACTTAAAAAGTCTCAGCTGTATAGCAGCGGTTTCTTCCACAACAGTGTTGGGCTGTGTGTGTGTGTGTGTGTGTGTGTGTGTGTGTGTGTGTGTGTGTGTGTGTGTGTGTGTATAGAGAACTTGGGGGGGGTGAAACCTGGCCTGATACAGGAAATATAGAAACTGAGGGTGATAAAATGACCACTACCTCTTTATAAAGGAAAAGAACCCACATGATTTTAGTAAATTAACACCTCCAAAAGCATCAAATGTTTTGAGTTAAAAAAAAATCAGTCCCAGAACTCTAAGAGACTTCTTTGTTGTTCAGCCTGTGGTTGGGAGTTTTAGACCCTGGGGAGAGAGCTACACAGGCCAAAGATTCAAAAATAGCCATGGCTATGATGGCTGGCCACATCCTTCTACTTGCTCAGCTCATTCCCATAGAAATGGCCATTGTCCTATCATTAGAACATTAGAAGGTGGTTTGTGAATAGGCATTATGGGCAAATGATCACAGCATCATAGATTTAGGGCTGGAGGAATCTTTGTGGCCATCTGATCCAACCCTCTTCATTTTATAGATGAGGGAATTGAGGTATGGGGACATTAAGTGACTTGTCCAGGGTCATCTAAGTAGTAAGTAGTTGAAGCAGAAACTGACCCTGAACTTGGTCAAATCCCTTTGCCTCTCTAGGCTTCAAGGTTCTCATCTTGTAGGTCCCTTTCCATTTGTGACCCTAAATTGACAAAAAAAAACAGGTTAAAAATGATAAAAGTCAACTTTGGCAAGGTTGCTGGGAAATGAGTGGGGTAAGGAACTAGTTTGATCTTTTTGAAATGCTATCTAGCAGTAAGAAGTTACAGCTGATTATACCCCTTAGCCCAGTGATTCCCACAATTAAAACTATCCTTTATATATATATATATATATATATATATATATAGAGAGAGAGAGAGAGAGAGAGAGAGAGAGAGAGAGAGAGAGAGAGAGATCTATATATATATATGTTTTAAAAGTTAAGGATTTATCTATGCAAAAATCTTCATAGTGGCTTGATAAGAGAATAGGGAGCAGAACTGTGATCTCATTTGTATAGGGAACTACCAAATGAAGAGATTTTACTAATCACCTTTATTAATGCAGGTCATCTCTTTCTCTGAAACTTGGGGTTAGAGAGCTGTTCTCTTAATAAGAAGTTTAGGGATTTAGCCAGGGTCATGGTTAATAAAAAAAAAAAAAACAACCTTCTTAACTGGTTACTCTGAGCCAGCCCCTGTGCTGAACACGGGGGATGATTGGTGATGATGATAAAATTATATCTCCCCTTTAGTAGTTTTCATTCTGATGAAATGTGCCAGGGATAGTACTTGAACCCAGGTCTTTTTGGCTCTGAGATAAACTCACACTCCTCAGGATTCTCTGGAATCATCTTTTCTCATTTCTTACAGTAATTTTCCATTATAGTCATATGCCACAATTTGTTCAGCCATTCCCCGATGTCTAAGAGGCCTCTACTTGGATTGTAGTTATTTTCTTTTTTCTTCCCACCTTTTAATACCCCTTTCAGGATCATGAAATGTCTGAGGCCTGGTTTGACCTTAGTTTTTCCTGATTCCAGGCCCAGAGTTCTACTCACTGTGCTACCTACATGCCAACTCAGCTTAGAATTTGATTCAATGTTCACAAGACTCATTTCTTTGAGCAGAGGAGTAACCTGTGCATTAGGATAGAGCGAGGAACAATGGAGAGAAGCAGTTGAGACAGAGGAGGAGAAAACAGGAACCTTTCCCTGATCCCAGTGCCAACTTCATTAAGTTCAAAAAGAAGCTGAGATCAATGGACTTGGATAACTGGTTGTTTGGGTAGACTCGAGGAGCTCTAACTCTTTTTCTGGTTTCCTTTTTCTTTTTTTCAGTAGCAGAACTCTCAAGAGGCAAACCAGCCCCAAGGGTATTGACTCACTCTATTGTCTGATTGTCTTTGGTTTTCTGTTTTGCCATTATCCATGTAAGAGAAAGACAATTCATTACCTAAGTGTCTAATCTGCTTTATGTGAATCTAAATTTCCTTGGTTCAGATTTCTCCCTGGAGATGAATAAACTGCGGATGGGAAATGAAGAATCTCGATAACCAGAGTCCATCCCTTCTACACTGATCCTTCAGTAATACATCCTTCCATCCAATTTGCAAATACATCATCTACCATAAATTTGAATGTAAAGAGTCAGGGCCTTGCATGGAAGGCATGGGTTAAGGATTATTCCAGACTGAATAATATGTGTCACTTTAAACCACTTTCTGACTAAGATACTAGATGATCAGAATTAGAGAATGATCTTAGTGTTTCGTTTCCTTGCTCAAGTTTTTAGAAATCTTTCTTATCAAAATCATAGAATGTTAACACTTGAAGGCACTTTAGTTTAAATGCCCTCATTTTATAGATTAAGCGAGAACCAGAAAAGGGAAGTAACTCACACATAATCATACATATAATTAATGTCAGAGAGAGAGAAAGAAACTTGTCTTTAATCAGTCAATATTTATTAAGCACTTACCATGTGTCAGGCAATGTGCTAAGTTCTGTGGATACAAAAAGAGGCTTAAAGACAGTCCCTGCTATCAAAGAGTTTAAAATCTAATGAGAGAGACAATATGCAAACAAATACATAAAAAGCAAGCTACATGCAGGATAGATAGGAAATAAATAACAGAGGGAAGGCATTGAAAACAAAAGGGGTTGGGAAAGTTCCTGTAAAAGGTGGTATTTTAGTTAGGGCTTAAAGGAAACCAGGGAGGTCAGCAGTCAGAGCAGAGAAGGGAGAGCATTCCAGGCTTCTGGGACAGCTAGAGAGAACCCAAGGAGCTGAGAGGTGGAGTCTGTTGTTCATGGAATAGCAAGGAAGTCCTGAATCAAGGAGTAAGGTAAAAGCAGATTAGGAAGATAGAGGGGTGCTAGGTTATAAAGGGCTTTAAATGCCAAACAGAGTATTTTGTATTCAATCCTAAGTGCAATTGAAGTCATGCAGTTTATTGAGTAAAGGAGGTAACATGATCAAACTTGCACATGGGAGAATTGCTTTAGTGGCTAAATGAAGGATGGATTGGACTAGGGAGAGACTTGAGGCAAGCAGACCCACCTTCAGGTGATTGCAATGATCTAAGCATGAGGTGATGAGGGCCTTCACTAGAATGGTGGCAGTATTTGAGAAGAGAAAGGAGTATATTTGAGAGATATTGCAAAGGTAAAGTCAATGGGCCTTGGCAACAGCTTAAATATGGTGGGGGAGTGGGGGAGATAGTGAGGCATCCAGGATGACTCCTAGCTTGCAAGTCTGAGGGACTGAGAGGATGCTGTTGCCCTCTGCAGTAATAGAGAAGGTGGGAGAGGAGGAAAATTTAGGGAGAAACATAATGAGCTCCATTTTGAACATATTAAGTTTAAGATGTCTACTGGACATCCAGTTCAAGACATCTGAAAAGCAGCTAGAGATGCAGATTGGAGGTCATCAGAGAGACTGGGGCAGGATAGGTGGACATGAGAATCATCAGCAAAGAGAATAAATAAAATCCATGAGCGCTGATGAAATTACAAAGTGAAGCAGTATAGAGGGAGAAGAGAAGAGAACTTAGGTCAGAACCCCGAGGGACACCTATGATTAAAGGGCATGATCTGGAAAAGGATCCAGCAAAGGAGAGAGAAGACAAGTAGTCAGGTAGGTAGGAAGAGAACTAGCAGAGAGTAGTGTCCTGAAAACTTAGAGAGAAGAGACTATCATAGAGAAGAGAGTGATCAACAGTGTCAAATGCTACGGAGAGGTCAAGAAGAATGAGGATAGAGAAAAGGCCATTGGATTTGGCAACCAAGAGATCATTTGCCACTTTGGAGAAAGCAGTTTTGGTGGAATGATAAGGTTGGAAGTCACTTGTAAGGAGTTAAAAAGAATATAAGAGGAGAGAGACTGGAGGCATCTTGTAGGTGGCCCTTTTGAGGAGTTTAGTTACAAAGGGTAGAAGAGATAGAGGATGAAATTGTAAAATTACTCTTTTTTCTGGGTTTACCTCTTGTGTATCTCTAATTCTAAGATTTTTCTTTCTGTTCAGTGTTTTCTTCCGTTTACTCATATTTCCAGCCTTTGGAATCCCTTTTCTATATTAAGGACTTGTGCTTGGATCAAACTCTACTCCCATATTCTTGAATGGTGTGGGTAGGCCCTGCTTGATCTTAAGGTTGGTGGCTAAGACAAGGCCTAACCTTGTGTGGGACTTGTCTGACCTTATCTCCTGCTGGCCTACAGGCCCAGACTGCCTGGGTGTTGCTCTGGATCTATCTCCTGCTATATAGATGGAACCACCAGCTCCATGGGTCAGCTAACATTAAGCACTACTTTGTTCCCATCTCCTGCTCTAGAACCAGGTTGGTTTGCACTTTGCCTTCTACCTACCCCAGCTTGAAATCCTTTCCATATTTCTGGAGGATTTTGACAGTCTTAGCACAATGCCTGGCACACAATAGGTGCTTTTTAAAAAAAAAAAGTCTTTCTTCCCTCCTTCCTTTCTATATGGTTTGTTGTTCATTTCAGTCGTGTCCAACTCTCCGTGACCTCATTTGGAGTTTTCTTGGCAAGGATACTGGAGTGGTTTGCCATTTCCTTCTCTAGCTCATTTTACAGATGAGGAAATCTAGGCAAACAGGGTTAAGTGACTTGCCCAGGGTCATACAGCTAATAAGTATCTGAGGCTAGATTTGAACTCAGATCCTCCTGACTCCAGGCCAGATGCTCTGTCCACTGTACCACCTAATTGCCCTCCTATAGGGTAGGTATCCCCATTAACCTAGGGCACATTCTCCCACAAATACACACAGCATCTGGGGGAAGAGTGAGTACAAATTTGAACATAATGGTAGTGAGGCACATGCGCGGTGAGCACATTTGGTCAAAGCAAGTTACTTTTGCACTGCAGGGACTCAAAGTCCTTTTTCTTCTCATGGAGTCCTCATGCAACGCTCCCAGGTACATCTTATCGAGATGCAATGTTGTACAGTGACAGCCAGAGTGTGAGAATGTGACCTGTGA